TTGAGCTCAAAGTGTTTCTGATGCCCAGCAACATTGCGCATCCCTACCTCGACACCCATTTTCAACCTCCCTCCCTCACCTTGCACCAATCCATGTCGTCAACTCATTCTGCACAGCTTCTTCGCGCAGATGATCACAACTTGAAAACATTAATCCAATCTTCCCAGCATAGCATCCTCATAACATATCTCACCCACATCATTGCTAGCCAACTGAACATCTTGGCTTGAATCGGTATGTACGAAGTCGTCCTGGTTGCCTTCAATCACTGGTTAATCCGTGTCCTTACAGTGAAACCCCTCGTTCATAATTTCTAAATGACGCCGTCAGGTAGCCGAGTATGTAATGAGAATAGGGCGCTGAATGAAAGTTAAGCAATAAACTTCATAGCGCAACGCAGTTGGTGGTTAGGACTTTCAACTCCCCTTCTAGAATTTCTTCTCTAATGCTACTATCATGATCATGGTCATCCATCTCAAACACCTATCAACTACCAAACCTTCCAAAACCATAATAGCCATGAAACTTGGTATGTCAACGAACAACTAAAACGATGCACATCATTGCTACTGTTTTCTCTTCAGTTTCTTCTGTCCCTTTCCATCCTTTCCAGGATAAAAAGACAGAACTGCTCTAGTTGGCACCAACCGACGACATATTATCGGCAAGTCCAAAACCATAGGAGCGCATCAACTTCTACTCAACAGGCTCCAGTAGCTTGAACAAGCTAGTGATATACGGCGCCAACAGCCTATTCTCGCAGAAAACCTCCCAAAGCCTCGGCATCACAGGCCGGAACAACCTTTCGTTCCACCCTGCATCCGCCGACACCACCAATCCAGGATACGATGACGATGATGTTGATACCAACGCCAACGCTCTCTCTTCCTCCTCCTCCTCCTCCTCCTTGGCCTCACTATCATCCTCCTGGCCTTCGCCATCAGTGGGACCCAACCGCTTGCGACTCTGCTTCCTCAACCGCTCCTCAGCATCGGTCTTAACGACGTTCCTGGCGATATTCCTCAGAATCAGCACCGCACTAAGCGGGATCCCCGCCGCTTGCGGCGGCACGTTCGGGTTCCTCTCGTCCCGCACGCTGGCCGTCTCCTCGAACGTCAGCGAGATGGTGCCGGCCGGCTTGATCACCCTCGTCTTGGATCTCTTTGGCGAAGACGCCACCTGCGCAGGACCGCCGCCGGGAGTGGTCATACCACCAGCACCACCACCACCGGGGAACGGCTCTGTCGCGCCGCCGCCGGCCGCAGGGGTAGGGGGAGGTTGGAGGGTGGGGTATAAGGCGTTGTGGCGAGCCTCTTCGGCCTTGAGATGGGTCTTGATGTGCATCATCAACTGCATCAGGTTGAGTTTGGTCGGGGCCGGGTACCTGCGGCAGCTATCCCAGTGGCAGGAGTAGGTACCTTCTTTGTTGGAGAATTTGTTGTCGGTGCCGGGGGCTTCGCCGAGGTGGTGCGTGAGGATGTGGTTCCACATCGATTCGGTGGTTAGGTGCCAGGCGCCGCACACAACGTGTTGCTGTTGTTGCTGTAGTTGTTGCTGCTGCTCGTCGCTGGTGGGCTGCCGTGTCCATTGACAGCCCAGGTAGCCACGGTTTTCGGGACTAATGGGAAACGCACGAGGTCTGATTCCCCTAATTATGAATCGGCTCTGAACCTCCCCAGTAGGTCCCTGTTCACGGAATACTTGCGCACCAGCGGTATGGTACACAGAGCTGATGTTCCTGATGAACTCGGCTGCGTTGATCATGCTTCGTCCGGTACGTTTTAGCGGCTCAAGGAATGCCGCGTTGTAGGCTTGCCAGATCGCTATCTGTGTCACCTGTGCGTCAGGATCTTCCTCGAACGTGCACCGCACCCACTGGTGTGTGCGCTCCGGTTCTTCCATGGCCAACAGCCGCTCGAGAAGGTCGGGAGGAATAGACACGACCTGCTCGGAAGGTGCATCATACACGATCCGAGCCTCGCTTACAACAATATCCTTGTGGTAGCGCTTAGCACCGTGAGACAACAGCCGGACGAGATGGGTGACCAGGTGCTCCACGTTGGTACCCTTGATCAGGGTATCCAAGTTAGGGACAACGGCAGTATACTGGTACAGGAAGTCGAGGCATGCATCAACCAGCTCGTCGTCGTTGAGTAGAAGCCAGTCCATAAGGTTCTGTAGGACAGACACCGGGACATCGTGAAGCTTGTTGGTTTCCGTGGCATGGTTCATCGAGATACGACCAATAGCTCGCAAAGCGGTGAGAATCGTGCCGCGGTCGTTAGACTTGAGCTGGCCAAGCAGGGTTTGATACAAGGGATCGTCGGATTCCAGCACCAAGTTGGGTGTAATTTGTTCGGCGATGTCCAGCGCAAAATGCTTGAGCTCCACGGTGAGATCCATGTCCGGAAGGTGAAGAAGAATGCATAGTAGATCTTTTATCGGTGGGTAATCCGCCATGAACCAGGCATTGTCCGGCAGCATAACCATGTTCCGAATGGTAAGAACGGCTTCGGTAATAAGTGTCATGTGGTCGGTAAACTCTGAAGGCTGAAAGTTGTCTTGGACATCCTTGCGCTTGAGCTGTGCAATGCGCTCTAGGATATCAAGGGTACCGTTGATACCATCGAGCTCGCCGATTTCGCCGTCGTCGACATCGGGGTCATTCGATATGATCCATTCGACGTCGTAGAATAAGCTGCCTACGCCCAGGGCAAACTCGGTCAACCCTTCGGCCAATCCACTGAATTGTGCGAACTTGTACTTATCGCCGCGTTCAAACGAAATCTTGACTAGGTGGTTGAGTCCAAAGGCCTGCTCAGCACGGATACCGGATCGGAGAGCTAGGAGACAGCGCTCATAAATATTCGGGCCATCGAGGCTACCTATGATTGGTGAGCATATGTGATCAAGGGAGCGGTCGCGACAAGACTTACCTGGTGGAAGGGCGGCGCGTACCAGTGCCGAAGTACTGGGAGCACCGGGAGCGCCAGATGGGCCAGGTTGCCTGAGAAGGCGCCGCCTCTTGTTGAATAACTCGGGATTGCTCGTAGGTGTATCGACGATGCGCAGCTGCAGCGGCTGCAGCGGCGCAGGTTGGTAACTCTGCACCAGGTGGTGACTGTGGTCTGGACCTGGGTTGTACATAACGGACGCGCTTCCTCGGTTTTGGTGGGCGTGAGGCGGGCCGTGGGAAGGTATGGGAGTACTAGAATGGGATTGCGAATGCGACGGGGGTTGTTGGTTGTGTTGTGAATTGGAGTTAGAGGAAGGATTGGCTGCAGGTTGTTGTTGCGCAGAACCGGCATGTCGTGTTTGCCGCGTCGAGTTTGTGTCTGGATGGAAAATCACCCTCGGCGCAGGCGCTTCTCTGAGACCCCGGGACGCGCGAGCCGAGTTGGGAGTGTCAACAGTACTCCGCTCCCTACTCGGAGTCCCATCGTCACCGGAATCTTCCTTATCACCTTTCAAACTCCTGGCGGTAAAGTTTTCAAGGGTTCTAGTTAAGAGTGATCCTCCTTTGGCAGTAGTAAACTCAAGAATCTCGGGTGGAGGGGGTTCCTTATTGTGGATCGTCTTGATCTCGTAGGCGGCCAAGTTCTTGTAGAATATTTGTTTCAACGTATAAGCATCGGCAGGCGCATTGTGCCTCATGAGACCTAGACCCTCGCACATTTTCCGCCACATCAGCTTCTCGTCCGAGACCTTATCGTATCCGCCATGTTCGACGATGTGTTTGAATAGCTTGAGCAGGTCGACCGTCAGGTTGCCCATCTTGGGTTCGGGGTCAAAGTTGGTGCCGCGCTTCTCGTGGAAGACACGCAGATCTTCGATAAACTTTTCATATTCGGGCGTACGGTCGACAGTATGCTCGGGCATGAGTTGAGGTTTCGGAGGAGCCATTCTGGCGGATCGAGCCGCAGTACGGCTCCCACTGAGGGCTTCGAGGGAGAGCTAGGAAGGCTTCGTTTGCGATTGCGATTGTTGGGTGGGATGGGCGCCAATGGGAGTTCGTCTCAAACTGTTGCTGGTCGAATGTAACGTAACGTAATGATATCCGGGTATTGGAATTTGTGGCTGTAATGCAGATGCCGGTGTCTCGATATGTTGGGGTCGAATTCGAAGGTATAAAGTTGTCGCGATGGCCCAGGGAATGCGACGCGAGGCTGGTCTGCCACTTGCGAACTTTCCACTTTCTGAAATCGCGGGAGGGATTGACGGCATGGCGTCGGTTTTTTCCACTGGCACAGAGAGCTAAAGGTCATTCCCTGCAGCGCACTGGCCAATGTCAGTCACCAGCCAAGACACCTATGCCCCGCTTGACGCACGTCGCGCTCGAGCCACATTGGCAGCTCTGTTCCAGCGATAGCTCCATGTTCTCACTGACACCTGAACAACATCCAAATATTTCAACGTCGCTTCCAAGTGCTCCTCCAACATGGGCCAATGACACTCGCACAGGACACAATGGATTTTGAAGGAAACGCCGGAGTTTTTTTCTCCTGGAGTTAACCAACTCTCAATTTGATCATTATGGCTTTGTCAAAAATATTACGGCCGTTTTGCGCGAGTGTACCGGTACCTAGGTATCTTTACATGGGACAATTTGAACCTTGGCTTGCACACATTGGATTGAGCTATCATGGGAAGGAACAACCCCAGGTTCGCCGATAGTCACTGCCCAAGAGCACATTCAGTTGCGGCATGTATCCCCTCAAGATGAAGCGGAGATCAAGTGATCTCGACTGTCGAGCACTGCACCTTCCCGCCTCTTTTCGATTCCTTCCTCTTCCAAATCTCGAAACAGGAGGAGGGCAACTCACAGCGCCTTCTTCCGTCATCTTTTTCTCTCTCGAACATCCTTCAGTTATTTGCTTTGATTCTTACGACGACCGCCCCTGCAGTTAAAACTTAGGTAAACTGCAGTTACTTACGGAGTCCCGTCAAGTCCCTCCCGTCCAGGTTCATTATCGCCTCGGCTGCTTCCAGAGTTGGTAGGAATGGCGCCCTCGAAGAGCAAGAAGCCGAAAAAGCAAACAGCGGTAACCATCAGTCCGGTTTTGCGCCGTTTTGAGCTTGAAGATGTCTTCATCAACCAGCGCCACAACAATTTCAAAGATCCCCAACTGGTCCTCAAAAGCCAACTCGATCGATCGCGTGGGATGCCCTACAATGCTGGGGTAAACTCCCAGATGCCCATCTGGCATCATCAGTTGATGATACATGTCAAGGACAAAGCAGATGAGCTGGTCAGTCCTACATTATCCATATATGTTCCCTTACGATGCAACGTTCTAAAACCGGCACCATAGGCGAAGCTGGACTTGGAAGATTTTACCCCAGCCGCCAAAGCCAGGGACCCTCCTTCGCAGTGTACCGCCGCATGTTCACCTTCTGAGCGTGCTTTCATGTTTTGGTATCCCATGGGGCCTGAAAGGGTGAGTGATTGGCAACCATGACATGATGCAATCCGACATGGCTAACCACATATATACTTGAATGAGAGACAGGCGTCACTTTTGTTCTCGATGAAAAGCACTTCTGACTTTGAAGCCGTCCTGAGAGAAATGAAGCGGTGGGAAGTGACTATGGCTTCCAGCAGGCATGGCTTCGGGCACAGTTTCTGGATTAGAAGAGAGCAGCAGGGTCTTCCCTCCATTCCTCAAATCAATCCTCTGACTGTGACCAAGTCATCTAGCAGGCGACACCGAAAATACATCACCAACGCACACCCGGGCCTGCTTATAGACACCAACAATCCGCACCTATTGCATTCAGTGAGCAGTGCAGGCCAATTTTTTGCGAGTCCCCAGCCAATCCAGCACCTTAGCCAACCGTTTTACCTTCAACAACCGCAACAAGCCTTGGTCCCCGGAAGCCTCCTTCAACGCTCGGCAAGTACTATTGCAGTTCCTGGTGTACTTGGAGAAGGTGTCTACAAAATCAGCAAAGTGAAATCGAACCCCATCGGCCGATCTAGAGTGAGGAGACTCTCTTCTTCCAAGGCTGGAGAAGCAGCACCCACCTATTTAACACGACCAAGGATTGCTAGACAACCTTCGGGACTTAGTTCAGGTATCGTCAACTTCAATCACGACTCTCCTGCCGTGCAGCTGCAACCTAGGCCCCCTATCAACATTCCAAAGATGGCAAAACACTTTATGGCTGGCTTGACAGAAGCCACTATGATATGGAATGAACACATGAGACGGGGCAAAGAGGAGAGTGATTTGGTGAGCGACCTTAAAGAGAAGATCAGAATCTGGATGAGACACGCGAGGGTGTGTCAACGAGACCTGAACGAAGTAGATTTCGCCACTAAGCAGAGGATGAGAGGGCAGCCAGTCGGTACCGGCACGCTCCGACGAATGTCTAAATCAGGAGTAGGATCACGCTTTCACCCCAGCGTGCCTTTTACCTCGGGAAAGCCTATGGTCCGAAGCACGCGTCAGCCGGTAGAAATACCTCCCGCCTCAGCAGAAACTTTCAGTCTGGGTGTGCCTTCTCCTATTCTCTCCAGCAGATCGACCGTCATCTCATCTCACTCGGATCTTGCGTCAATCCCAAATAGCCGTTTTGCGTTACCCACGCATTTTCCTTCGCTCACGGCAACCACTCAAAATTCACCATCTCCTACGAACAGCTGGGGTGAGAGAGCATTTACTGGTGGGTTCCTATGATTTTGTTGAACAATCAGGCGGTCGGATGATTCGATTCTCCCTGGGTTGGCTCTTGCTACTTGGATGGACTTCTGTGGCGGAATAGGTCGCATCCTGTATAACAAGTTATTATGAATGGATTTCTGGCAGAGGAGAAAATCGTTGTCCACGAGTTATAAGCACCCGTAGCTGAACAAAAGGGACCACCTGAGAATATAATGATATCAAGTCAACAACTGACCAAGCCAAGCTAGGATCAACTGACCCAAGCCTCATATGAACTTGCTGCTCAACGCGAATCATGTTTGACATGCTTCCCTTCCGTCCTTCCCCCGGCTTCCGTGTACGCTGTGCGTTCAACCCAGCTGTAAGTCCACCTTTCTTCTTTTTTTTTTTTGCACTTTGCTTCTGATCGCTCGGTTCCCTTCACGAAGCTTGATATGCTGCATGCTTGTCTGGTCCCAACATAGTCCTGCCGTATTCATCCCTCGATCTTTCAAATACGTGGAATTCATCCGAATCCAGGGTCACTTTCTCCTCAGTAAACACTGTGACTGCAATCTTATTTCCTTTCCCACTACATACATACATACCTAAACTATCGCATCACTCAAACCTCACTCACTTACCCTCCCCCTCCCCCTTACTTCGCACCCGCAGCCGAATCCTCCTCACTAAAAGTCAACGAAATACTATTCACACAATGCCGCTCGTCCGTCGGCGTGTTGAACCCTTCTCCCTTAAACACGTGGCCCAGGTGCCCGCCGCAGTTGCTGCACACGATCTCGGTCCGTGTCATGCCAAAGGTGCGGTCCTCGTGCCGCGTCACGGCGCCCGGGATGCTGTTGAAATAGGCCGGCCAGCCGCAGCCCGAGTTGAACTTGTGCGAGGCCTTGTAAAGCGGCGCGTGGCAGCCGGCGCAGGTGTACACGCCCGCGGAGGGGTAGTGCTTGTCGAACTCGCCGGTGCCGGCGGGTTCGGTGCCCTTTTCGCGGAGGATGCGGAATTGTTCTTGGTTTGGGGTCAGTGATTTGATGGTGTGGATTGAGGAATATAAGGGCTGGTGAGATGAAAGTCGTGCTGATATGGGTTATTTCATGGAAAGGCAACTCACGAGGGCTGAGAACCGCACGCCACTCATGGGCGGACTTTTGGACGGGGTAGTTCTCGGGCATTTTGTTGGAAGATGATGAGGAGGATGAACCGAAAAAGCTGCTGAGAAAGGGAATCGTAGGCATAGAAAATTTCAAGAGTAGGTTGTTTCCCGGCGATAATGATGAGTGTTGCGGTATGCGTGGCCTCTGTGTGAAGGTGGACAAAGTGCGCAAAATGCGGAGGAAGTTGGCGGCTTGGGGATAGTAACGCATGAAGGTCAACTGTTGTTGCTGGATATTGAATAACCTTAAGTGGTTTGATGTTTTTGTAGATGATGAGAATGCTTGATATTCACAATGTGGAATTGTCTTATATGAGGTTTGGAATAACAAATCACATGCGAATGAAATAGAACCGATATAGATTTATCTGCAACTTCTATGCATGTCGAAAAGTTGCCCCAGCGATGACGGGGTGTTGTTAGTGACCTCTCGCTGTAAGTTGGGATCGGGGAGTCTTGCGTCAGAGACTCGATCCCGTCACAGTATGGAAAACAAAGCGGCAGTTGATCTCGCTCAAGAGCTGTGACTTTCGACATCCGAAGGCATCGACTACTCCTGCTTATGATACGGTGAAAAGCATAGAAATAACTGCCGATGTTTGATATCTCTACAATACCCGCCCAGACTGTTGAGGGACTCCAACGCTGCCCCTGCAGTGCTGTTGGTTTATCACAGCAAAGAAAGTCGGGGGAGGATGATGTATTCCGTCGAGATACAAAAGTACATTTGTATTATTCAAGCCACAACTGGCTTGCTTCGTGTGCGATTAACACGCAAGGTTCGATCAAAGGGCGGTGTTGTTTAAACGGCGCCAGCTGACCCTTGTCGGACCTTGATAGTGGCGGTCCCACCGTTGACGGGGCCTGGGCGCATTGCAGTGGAGGACACTCCTGAGTCTCTGCATTGATATGTCCCGGGCCAGCCATTCCTTTCTGTAGGTCGTTGTTTAAACTCGCACAACCAACAGCTCACCGAATCCGACTATTTCAAAGACTCGACAGCAACCTGTCCTCCGAATCCCAACCGGTCCCGATTCCTTCTCCCATCCAAAACCTACGGTGAAGCAACTGTTTACTGCGAACACATCGCCATGTCTCGACGCCCACCGAACCCCGCTGCCGAACGGGCAGCAAAGAACCAGAACACAATCAAGTCGCTCCTGAAACTCGAGGCCAACAAGGTGTGCGCTGACTGCAAGCGCAACAAGCGTAAGTTTCTGCTGGGAATCTGACAATGCCAACGTACCACTAGGCGTTCATTACCAGGCCAGGTTACTGAGAATGTTGCATACACACAGATCCACGATGGGCCAGCTGGAACCTCGGCGTCTTTATCTGCATTCGCTGCTCGGGCATTCACCGTGGAATGGGTACACATATCAGCCGTGTCAAGTCCGTTGATCTCGATGCTTGGACCGACGAACAGCTACAGAGCGTCTTGAACTGGGGAAATGCTCGCGCCAACAAGTACTGGGAGGCCAAGCTGGCTCAGGGCCACGTGCCCTCGGAATCGAAAATCGAGAACTTTATTCGCACCAAGTATGAGCTCAAGAGATGGGTAATGGATGGCCCGATGCCAGATCCCTCGACACTGGACGCGGAGGGTGACGATGATGTCCCTCTGAGCGTGGTGAAGGAGAAGCAGACTCTGGAGAGAAACGGGTCTCTTCGTAGCCAGTCCAGCACCCCGACTGCGGCCTCACGATCTGTCCCCGCCCCTATTCCGGCCCCGGCCCCCGTACCCGACCTCATCGGTGCCGACCCGATTCCGCTTAGAGCCAGCACTACCGGACCGACAGCCTCGAAGGTGCCCCCGAAGGCCGAGCCTGCCCCGCCCAAGGCCACGAGCTCGAATGCTTCGCTTTTGGGACTGGATTTCTTCGGCACGGAAACTGCAGCGCCCCCAAGACCCGCTAGTACGACGGGTACTTCGGGTGGTGCAAGCCAGTCGCGTCCCGATTTGAAGCAGTCTATCCTCTCTCTTTATGCCAGCGCACCTCGCCCACAGCAGCAAGCCACGCCCTCACACTCACACTCCGGATCTTTTAGTGGAATGAGCGGCATGTCCTCCCCGAACATGTCCCAGACCCAAAATGCTTTTGGTGGGCTTAATGATGCTTTCAGCAGCCTCAGTTTCAACAGCCAACCATCCCCTAAGCCCGTTCAAAACGATGCCTTTGCTAGTCTTGGTAGCTTCGGGTCTCCCCGACCCTCGTCCCAGACTAGCAGCAATGCCTTCTCAGGCCTAAGCGGCGGCAGCTTTTTCGATTCTAAACCCGCCACATCCTCCCACCAACCTAAGCAGTCCATCAGCAGCCCACTGGGCTTCTCATCGACTCCTTCTCCTGCTCCAGCCTCTAAGCCGGCGCCGGCTTCCTCCGCCCTCGGTGACCTGTTCGACTTCTCTACGCCAGCCACTACTACTACCGCTCCTCCCCCGGCCGCCGCCCCGAAGCCTTCTTCTGACTTCAGCTCCGCATTCAACCTTTCCAAGCCCGCCGCAACCACTCCTGCCCCCCAAGCCGCTACTTCAACAACACCAAACCCTCTTGCCTCTATCGCGACCACTAATGCCTGGTCCGATGCAGGTGTATGGGGTTCCAACGAGTGGGCCTCCGCCCCTGAGCCCCCTAAGCCTGCGGCTCCTGAGCCGCCCAAGCCAGCACCTGTCACCTCTATCCCTCTTTCTAACGATTTCGGATGGGGCAGCAGCACCACCACCTCCTCCACTACCGGCGGCTCCTTCGCAAGCCAACCTATCGTCCCCAGTGCTTCGGGTGGCTTTGCGCCTGCGCCCAAGGTGGCCGCGGATGAGGAGTTTGGGGGCTGGATGAGCAGCACCACTACACCAGCTGCTACCAGCGGATCCAAGCCGGCAGCCGGGTTTGGTGGTAGTGACGACCTGTTCTCGAACGTCTGGCAATGAAAGGCCTAGAACGGGCTGTCAGGGATCTTCGGTCTGGGGTTCAGGGATAACTGGATGCAGGGGACTGGGGTCTTTGTTTTGTTGCGAGACGCCCCTGTCCTCGCGCCTGATGCCGACTCTATAAATATATAATTAAACGGGAAGGGGATGCTGTCAACGAGCACCATGTCATTGTTATGCTTGTGGGAGTCTGATCTGTTGTTAAAAGTTAGACAAATGATGGTTTATGCAAAGACAAATAGGGAAAGGTGGACAACGCATAGTCAGATTCACATTAGCAAGTCATGTTCTGCTTTAGTATAATTACGTTCTAGACAACAGGCGGTTGTTCGTTGGTAGGGCAAAAGTAATGAGCTTTTATACAAGGACCTACCTTTCATTGTAAGATGTGTGTTGGATTCTGATTTCGAAATGGCAAGATGGGACTAGAGAAAACGATTTCTGGTTCATGTGTACGAATAACATGGTAAAGTACTCGAAACCGACCCCCAATAAAACAAGCAAAATCCAACCGTTAACGCCATTGCTATGCCTCGGAATCTACCCGCCTGTTGTCGAGACAAAACATTAAACCCAGTCCTTGAAACAGTAGCCACACATCATTCGCCGACAGCCCGCCGAAACACGTACGGTCCTCCGTAACCTCCCAGCCTCCAACCCAACCTGCATTATCCTTCTTCTACAGTACGCGATGTACCGAAGCGAGTCTCCAGGAGAACGTGAGTGCGCATCGCCTTGGCCAAGCTCTCCAGCATCCAACAAGCCATCCGGCCATTTTCTCGTCCCGACGTCCAAGATCGCTCGCACCCGTCTCATCATCCCTCGCATTTGCCGTCATTTCATCCGTTCAACCCTCTCCATCCTTTTTTTCCTTGTGTTTTAGTGAATCACTCGACACGGAAAGCCTCCCCATATTCCTTTCCTTTCCGGGCATGTATTTGCATCTCGAAGGCCCGCCGAGCCGATAGACCAATGTCGAAGGGTAACCCGAACACGTCGGACATTTTCGAAACCGTGTTCATTTAACCAAGAAAAAGCCGGTAAAGATAGTAAATAACCAAGAAGCTCCCGATAAGAATGCCCGAGAGCTTGAGAATGGCGACCTTGTTCCCCGACGCGGCCATGCGGCCTAGGCGGGTGGCGGAGCCTTTGAGCTGAGAGCCCATGGAGGAGAAGGTATCGGTCTTTTTGTTGGTAAGTGTTGTTAGTCGGCTGTGATGTGTTGGACGGATGGTTGGGGAAAGAAAGAAAAAAGAAGGAAGCGGGGGAAGGGAAGGGAAGGGAAGGGAAGGGAAGGGAAACCGTACCGTTTGGTCAATGACTTCGTGGTTGCGCGCTTGGTCATAAATGTCTATGGTCACGCCTCGGAGGGCAGAGACCTTGGAGGCTAGCTCGTCGAGGCGCGCATTGTTTTGGCGCTCGCGCTCGTAGTTGGCGGACATTTTGATGATGGTAGTGGGTTTGTGTTGCGGTTGCGGTTGTGGTTAGGGGGGCGCTATGTGTGTTGCGACTCGCTCAGCGGGCGTGTTGGAGGTTCAGTCGTCGCAGTTGAGTATCGGGTTGCTAGGAACTCGGTATTATGGCGGGATTTCGTATGTTCGTATGGAATATAACGCGGTGATGTGTCGCGCGCGCGCGTGTAGGCTTCGGTGTCTCGCAGTGTCTGTTGTCCTTGTGAAGCCGTGGTGTTGGTGTTGTTGCCGAGTGCTATGGAGATGTTCGAAAGGGGGTTGCACTTCTTGATGTACTTGTATACACCAGCCACAGCCATGGCCCTGCCAGTCGCGAATGATGTCAGTTTCCACCATTTACGTGTGGCTGCGCGTAAAGCACTTGCATGGCCAATGCGGGGTCCTTTTTTTGGGCGGAGCCTGCTTGAGCCTTCCGTTGCTCGTGGTCCACCGCGACTTTTGGCCCGTCAGTGTCAACGACGAACACCCGCTCCGCCCGCTGGACAAGGGGTTTTCAGAGGCACTGCAGGGCAGGAACGGAGCACTGCACTGCCCAGCGCTTGCCCAGCCCATCCCAGCGGTTCCAGTGATGATGGCTTTTGCGAGGGACCAGAGTGCTGCAGTTCTCACATGACGCGCGGCACGAGCTCCCGCTTCCATTTCCAAGTACTTCCAGTTCCACCCGTCATCCAATCTTGGCTGTGATCCCATGTTTGACCTCGCTCACTATAGCTGCAATCTGTGAAGAAGAGTAAAAGAACAAAGGCCCCCAAAACCGAATACATTTGAACAAGCCATCCTCCGGAAAAGAAGATCGTTCCATCACGGACAAAAGTGACCCCAAGGATCTCCCCAGCAATCTTGACAAACCGCCAGTGTGGGGACGCCCAGGTACCAACCTCGCATTTACACCACTGAATTGCAGTCTCCAAGGAATTGACTGGGCTGACCTGCTTACCTGCTTGCCTGCCAGTCTGCCTGCAGGCATTGATCGGCCAGTGTTTCCCGAGAACTGACTCTGACGAACTCCCTCTCTTTCTTCCTAATATTTTGCTATCGCTTCAGTTGTCGCATTTCCACGACATTCTCACCGTAGCCGCTCTACACGCCCTCGCCCTCCGAGACCCGCGCCAGTCTGCTATAGGGATTCCCGCTTCGACACACCAAGATGGGTATCAACAACCCTCTTCCGTCGTCACTTTCGTGTAAGTTTGTGTCCCGGAGTTCCCGTGCTGTCCAGAGCCCGACCCCGCAACTCCCATTTGCTTCGCCAAATCCGACGACTGACACGTCTATAACCAGCGGAATGTAAGAAGTGCGGCAAGATCCTCGCCTCCTTCATCGAGCCCAAACAAGCCTTTGGTCCCGACAAGGTGATACCGCCATCTGTGCTCGCGAACGCCAAGGTACGAAACAGCATCTGGAACCTCGATGAAAGCTACCAGGTGGTTAACGTTCTCCTAGGGTCTTGCTATCCTCACAGTCATCAAAGCTGGTTTCCTCGGGTCTGCCCGTTTTGGTAGCGGTCTGGTAGTCGCCCGCCTCCCCGACGGCAGCTGGTCTGCACCCACCGCCATTGCTACGGGTGGTGCCGGCTTCGGCGGTCAGATCGGTTTCGAGCTTACAGACTTCGTCTTCATTCTCAACGATGCGAGCGCCGTAAAAACCTTCGCCCAGGCTGGATCACTTACACTTGGTGGTAACGTTTCGGTCGCGGCGGGGCCTGTCGGTAGAAATGCTGAGGCCGCCGGAGCCGCCTCGCTGAGAAGCGTAGCGGGCATCTTCAGTTACTCCAAGACCAAGGGCTTGTTTGCTGGCGTGTCTCTCGAAGGTTCTATGATAATCGAGCGGAAAGACGCCAATGCGAAGCTCTATGGTCGTCAGGTTTCCGCCAAGGAGCTCCTTTCGGGAGCCGAGCGCCCCCCGCCGCAAGCCGCTCCTCTTCTCAGCATTCTCAATTCACGGACCTTTGCCGGCATGTCCTCTGGGTCTTTCGACGACCGGATGTATAACGATCAGCCCGTCTACGACAACACCCATGACAGCGTGGTATGGGGCAACAAGACAGGAAATGCCTACGGCGAGGGCCAAACCCGCGATTCCGGCTATGCGGCATCATCGGGAGGAGGACAAGCACATGACGAATTTGGCCGCCCCAAGCGCGCTTCCACGTGGCAGGATGATGTGTACGATCAGCAGCCTCGTGGCTTCGCGAATAACAGGTCATCCGTCCAGTACGGCCAGAACGGCGCCAATGGAGGTGGGTATAGCGGCGGTTACGGCGCGGCAGCGGCCCAGGATGCGGCCGCCGAGAAGAAGGCTGGCCCGGGGCGGCCGGCCGCACCGAAGCCGAACTACGCGAGCAAACAAGCTCTGATGAAGAAGAACGAGGCTGTTGCTCTTTACACATTTAATGCGGACCAGCCTGGAGATTTGGGTTTCCAAAAGGGCGAGATGATCACTATCCTCAAGAAGACCGAGAGTGATAACGATTGGTGGTAAGTACACATCGTGGCACATTTTAATGGCATTGGCTTCGTATTACTAACGTGTTTCATAGGACTGGTATGATCGGCACAAGGCATGGCACTTTCCCCAGCAACTACGTAAAGATGATTGAGTAAGGAGAAGAAGTGGATATACCCAGGCAGAGAGGCTACGGCAGACGACCTACGACGACTTCTCGGTGAATCAGCCTAAACTTTTGAACACATCCGCGTGCGCAAGCACATGAGGAGAACCACAACACAAGCCACATGAGCGGACTACCCTAGTTGGGTAAAACCGGGGTTGTTACGTTCATTGGCCCTTACGACTTTCTTGAGCTATCTTGCTCCGTTTCTATCCCCGGCGTTCTCTTCTCTAACGATCACATGCATGGAATTGGGTTTACTTTCTTGTCTCTACGTTTCTACGTTTCTACATCTCTTTTGGGCGTTTTGGGCTTTTCATCAAGACGGAGGATCAGCAATTTAGTGAGGTCCCAGGTTGAGATATGTTTGGACTGAGTGAAAGGGGAGCAGGGCGATGTTTGGTCTAATCAGACTGTGCGGCGGTACGCGTTTGGAAAGCAAGCAGAAAGACGTTGGACCGAACTGAACCCTAATGAAAAATATTAGTAAACATTGTTACTGAAGCATCTCCACACATCCGATGGGCTCGCACGAGGGTGGGCGGGGAATCATATACCGTGAACTATTGCTTGCTTCTTTCCCGCCTCAACATTTCCCATCTGTCTTGCATGGAAGCTTTTTTAGCCGTCAACAAACAGCAGTATGAGCAACGTTATCCAAGGAACAGTACGTAGCATCAGCACTTCAACAAATCATCCCATAAATGGTCCTCAAGATATGGGCATTATCATGTGTCAAACGCAAAATGCCACGTAGTCGACACACATATACCGGTGAGTAAAGAGGGCGAGACTCATCCTGTCGTATGACCTCGATGAAGAAAGAGCACTATTACTCTTCGTAACCCTCATGCAGATCGTACTGGACATAGCTCGCTTCCAGAGAATAACGCCTTTCAAAATACAAGGGCGCGCAACGCGCGGAGATGGTAATACCAAAACTGTGGCACGGCATATGACGGGCATAATAATCCCGTAGTTGTGCGACCCGAGGAAGAGCCAGTCTCGCCAGCGGGCTTTACCACCATAGTCAGACTACAGAGGGGATTCCAGTGTAACTTGCGCCCTAAGGTTCATCTCGATGATGCATAAGTGAAAGGCTAGACACCATTCTTGCTTGTGCGAGATTTGGGCTAACGTCTGATGGTCTTTCGCGAGCATTTATATGTGACGCATCTCGGTGGTTTGACGTCTCGTTTAAAGGTAGTTTGTTTCGCAGCCGAGAATCCAAAAGAGAAGATGACATGTCATGACTTTATGAAGGTGGCATTACTTGGTATTCCTTCATACAAATTGGGGTTTTCTCTATTTCCTGTTACTACGTGATAGTCAATTGTAGTATAGTGTGGTTTGTTATAAGAGCATATCCAGAACATGCCAATTTCTAGTCCCACTGACTAACCGAACCAATAAAGTTGATATCACCGCGCTTAGAGTCTCCTGCTCGGTTGCACAAAGATGGGATGATATCTCACTCGACGAGTTGACGTAAGTGGTTGAGGCTGAGCAGTTGCATACACTAGTTGATCTCATCCCAACAGCCAAAACGATATCTCCCACCACCTTGGTGAATCATCGCCATCACCCATCACGATGAAGGGATAAAGCAGAGAAACTGATAGGCCACTGTTCCTATCACCCACCTCGCCCTGATTCTTGAGCAGTTCGTATCAATTTTTGGAAAAGACACTTTCCTCGCTTGTAACCCTCCATGAATTTAACGCAGTCCGTTTCGCCACCACGTAAACTGGTTCAGAACCTTCGTCCAACGATCGATAAGCAAGCGAATAATAAAGGGTTCAAAATCCAAGCATTCATCGAACACGATAATCTCGCTCCTCATAATTTGCATTCCATCACATTCTCGAAGTGAAAAGTGAAAGTTCACATCTCGACGAGCATCGCCTCCGATATCGCACGCCAAGCCACCCTCGGGTGTGTGTGTTAGCAAGAGGACGGGCTTCTAGAATACTTCTATGCAGTTGTTGGGTTGGTTGTGTACGTCAAGTTAAAGGGCGGGCCGGAAATAACACTGGCTCGTTGGATCTCTTTCTCTCGAGTGGGTGTCGTTATCATTCAAACATGTGATGAGACTGACCAATAGGCGGTTGGAAGAGCTGCACATGTTTCCGGACGGTTTCCGGCTGCCGGAGTGATTCCGGGTTTTGAATGGAAACAAGTACCGGTAGTACGTACAATACAAAGATAGGTATCAACCTTGACTGGTTTCGATTGGCGACAGAATCAAGGAATGAGGAACCAAAGTGGCTGGCTCAACCTTTCTCTCTGCTTGTTGTGTTGTTGAAAGACACGCCGTTTTCACATGCTTCAATGAATGGTCCCTGAGAAAGACTGGACTCGGGCTTGTCACAAGGGAAAAAGCGGGTCGAATTCCGCGCCGCGGTGACGGGTAGTGTACCTTCACGTCCCGACGATGGTTTCGGACCTTGGTCCGTCGGTAGTCGAACATCACGTCTGTGCTATGAACGGCTACTATGTATAGACCACAGCCTTTGCACGTGCAATCATCGGTGGTGTGTAAACTCCGGCCCCTATGATGAGGTTGGGTGAATCGGTCGATAATGTGTAGTGGTAAGGATACATTGGATGGTCTGCCTAAATCATGGCATGTTGCCGCTTCTTTCAGTCAAAAGGGAAACACTCACCGAGAAGCTCGTTCCTTTTTTCATTCACAGATATCAGTTGCAGCGGTTGGGTGTCATATTGCGTCTAGATCGCAGATCTGTGAGCCGGTTATAGGAAGGGAGCTGCTCGATAAGCGACGGCAAAGAGATGCTCAAGCAGTAGACCCTATAATAGACGCCACAAACAGCCCGAGAGGTCGCCCCTGATAACGAATTCAGGGAAGTGATTGATTGATGGACTGCCAGATAGTGAGATAGTGTACCCGGAGCATGCCAGCGGGACGGGACTGCATGTAGTGCAATGCAGGGGCAAATGCCGTGAAAGAAGGGCCGAAGATGAACTCCCTTGCATGAGGCCTCATATGATACTGTTGGTGTTTGGTACACTTGTACGTAGCAAGTGTAGTGTAGTATCGGCCGTAGTGGTTGTAACGTAGCCCCGAGAGTTCACCGGTGGCCCACCGAACGGGAGCTGCTAATGCCTTTTTGCGATTTGCGTCCATGCGGCAACTTGTTCGTGAAGTTTTTCTCGTAGGGCTGATGATGAGAACGGCAACGACGGGAACGGCATCAGAGGCAGGAAAGTTCATAGCACCCCGTAACTCCGCCGGGAATATCCCCGGCGAGAGGCCATGGACCCAAATGTCAATCAAAGCCTCCGCGGAAGAGTCCC